AATCGATCTAATCCCATCCTTCTTCTATCTCCACTCAACCCCCTCAGGTATTTTTCTTCTCCGAAGCTGATACGGCTGAATAGTTGAATTTGTTCAATATAAAAGCCAAATGGAGTAGCAATCCTGCCTCTTGGCACACTCCACAACGACAAAACTGAAACTTGGCTACTTCCAGTCGCGGCACTTAGTCTCTAGCCACCCATATATTCAGGATTAGTACAGCAGACATGTTTTTCTTTTCACAAACAGGTACCGTTAAAAACAAACGCTTCTCAAATCACTCCTTCACTTAGTGTCCAAGAAGTTTGAAAATTTGATAAACACAGGAATGGACCTCCAAATCAGACCAAAGATGCAACAAAAATAGACTTCTAAAAGAAATACATTTGCACATTCTGTTGTCACCTGTGACTAAAACCTCAAACTCAAATATACAGTGGTCCAAAATAAAAAACCGGGACTAAGTCGCAGGCCAGACTCGATATTTATTGAAAGATTGACTACAATTGTGCATGTTTTCCTTTCTCTGCAGATATATAATGCTAAATTTTTTCATATGGAAACAAACTTAAGTTTTGCTTGAACGTTGAATCTGGAACAAGCAAAGCTTAATATTATGAACACATGAGAAATCAAACTTCACATAAAAGATACATCAGTGGCATTCGTTTCCTATTTTTACTTTAAATGAATAAAATAACAAAATACTTATGCCGCTCTCTATCTGTAACCTTTTGAGTTTATTTTCAATGGAAACCTTTTTCACAGGCCAACAAGACAACCATAATAAGCATTTATTGGCTAAAAAAAAAAAGGGGGGAAAAAATACTTAAATTTTCCTGAGGTGACCGGCAGCAGGTTGACGTTGCTAATGGATGTTGAGAGTTGCTAAGGAACGTCAACAGAAGGGGGAGGGGATGCACTTGCTGAGCATTCTGGGATGTGTAGTATTAGCGGTGCATGCGCTATATACCGGCAAGCCAGCTCTGAGAGACATTTGATATTATCTTGTGGGCCAAATGTAAACATATTGCAGGCCAGATTTGACACCTATCATCTACAGGATCAACAGGGCCAAAAATGTGGATATTATATGCAAAGAATTGTTTAAAAAAAAAAAAAAAAGATAGAATAAGTAAGTATCCTATTAAAGTAAATTACTGAAAGAGCATGTAATGCCAACAAGAAACTATAAAGTTAAAGAGATTGCAAAATTTCTATCAATAATATAGTGTCCACGCTGAATGGCTAAGTTCATGAATAATATATATTTCTGAAAGACATGCAGCTCAAGAACTGGCAGAAAGCTAAGGTTTGACAGTAACACCTTGCAGCTCTTATCCATCTACATGTTATTTAATTAGAATGCAGCAGCGTAGCCTGGGATGTAATTGAACAACTGTTGAGCCCAAAATGGAGATAATGCAGATAAGGGCTTAGATCAGATCTACCTTTCCTGTCATTCTCTTTCTCAAGGAAGCGTGGACCATCTCTCCTCATCTGGCACTGGTCTTATCGACTCACCTATCAGAGCCTATAATTATCAACGAGCTCAGAATTACTGGAAGGAAAAGCGATTAAGTTTCGACGAGATTTAAAAATAGAGCGTCAATTCTACACGAGTAAATGGAAGTTATTTGTGAAGCTTGACTCAGAATTTTTATATCGTTTTTAGAGCTGGCTACATGCATAGAAATGCTCCAGAAATGAATGTTTATAATGCTGAAGACTGGAAAACCAAATGAATGAATATGTTGAGTAGTTTTTTAAGTAAAACACTTTAAAAAAGGCAATTGTCAGGAAAAAAAGAGAAAATTCAGTTGTGTATGAAAATTATTTGAGTGTATTTCAAACTAAGTATACACAGGTAAAACAAAATAAACACTGTCAAAATGATAAAAATGACACAACTGGCAGTTTTAAAGAATTTACACTAGTATTATAGCGCAAACACGTAGTGAAGTTCTTCTGACAACAATTAAACCCCTGAAAAGTATTTATATCAAAGTCAAATTTATCAGTTTTTACCCATGAATATAATCCCTTTAATAATTCCCTTTTTCTTAGATATCGCTCCACAATTTTGCCTCCTCTATTATTTACAGATCTATGTATAAATAAATAGTCTGCCTGCAGCCTGAGCACACCAGCTCACCTACGATTCTGCTCAAACAGTTTAAAACAAACTCTTTGCAACACAATTGAAATATTGGACTAATTAAACTACGTGTGTTTGAACTGGACTCCGAAGAAGAAGAGTAAAAGGTAAAGCCACGAGATAACATGAGCCTTCAGCTTGACTAAATTATCAAACAGATAACACCGTGTTGCTAATTTTAGACAAAGGCGCACAAAGTTCTCCTTTTGCAACTGTGCAACTGCAAACAGAACACAGCTCTTGTTCTCCACTCATTTGATATGAAAGCCCCATCGGACAAGTTGACAAGATCGGTTCCTGGAGTTTGTTACGTGTGAAACAATCGAAGTCTGAATCAGCATTTTAAAGACTATCGTCTGCACACTGCAGTTTGAAGGTGGAAATGCTCAGCCATGGCACTGACTGCTTAGTTTGCTAATTTTAGCACCGAAAAATACCACATGGACATGTTACCAAGGTAAAGAAACTAGACTTTCATTTGAGGCAGCGCAGACTGTGGTTACAATTCTAACTTGGTCAGTCTGGTGACAGTGTTAGTTGTGGTACCTCTGCTGATCCACACTTGGAACAATACTTCTATGTAAAATTTGTGACAGTGCCTATTCATGATTCTTCTACAGCAGAGAGAGATTTGTGGTCACAGTCACTCACAAACAGGTTCTAATATATTTAAAGCAGCACTCATCAATATCGGATCAAATGACAAACAGGATAAGTGTTGTGCATAATGACAAACCCACACAAACGCATGAGCCTTTTAACATCTTCAGCTCATTGTTTTCACTCCTACTCTTTTCTTAAACCTTGCTTTTAAATGCAGCAGGCACACATTTTATGAAAAAATAAAAATTAGAAGAAAAAAAAGCTCTGATAAAGCCAGCTTATGCTCTTTGCAAAGCACCAAACAGCAGATGGGCCAACGAGAAGGGCTTTTATAAATAACTAATTTAGACGTAGAGACGCTCATTATTATTTAAAATAAAATGAATGTTCTATATTCTGCACTTCTCACTTAATACAATGTGTGTATACACTTAAATACTTAGCTGAAGTCAATAAAACTCATTTTTTTAGCTACTCTACAGATTATGTTAGCCTGTCAGTTATAGGACGGCTATTTAATGCATTTCCCCCCTTTTTAAATCACCATGTCTGAATTCCAAAGGCTCAGACGTTTACATACAACAGGTTGATTGCCTTTAAACAGCATAGAAAAGTCAAGAAAATTATGTCATGAATGTAGAAGCTTTTCATTGGCTTACAGATATTATTTAAGTTAATGGAAGGTGTACCTGTGGATGTATTTTAAGCCTTACCATCAAATTCAGTGTCTATTTGCCTGACATCATGGGACAATCAATCAAAAAAAAACATCAGTTAAGACCTCGCAAGTGTGGTTTATGCATGCAATTTCAAATCGCCTACAGATACCATAATCATCTGTGCAAATAATAGTGTGAACAAATAAACACTATGGAACCAAGTAGCCATCATAACACTCAGGAAGGATATGTGTTCTGTGTCCTACAAACAAACGTAAATTTATTCTAGAAGCTGCAGGAAACCTGTTCAAAAATCTATATCCACAGTAACACCAATCCTGTAATCAGCATAATCTAAAAGGCCATTCAGCAAGGATGAGTCACTGCTCCAATAAAGCTGTAAAAAAAAAAAAAAAGCAAGACTACAGTTGTGCTCATGGGAACAAAGATAGAACTTTCTGTAGACATGTTCTCTGGTCTGATGAAACAAAATCAGGCACATTGTTACATTTGGAGGAAAGAGGGTGAAGCTTGTAAGTCGAAGGCCACCATGAAGCACGGAGGTGGCAGCATCAGTTCGTTAGGGCACTTTGCGGGTGCACTTCACTAAATATTTAGCATCATGATAAAGGATAAACACGCTGATATACTGAAGCAGTATTTTGAGCTAAGTACAGATTCAAATGGGTCTTTCAGTGAAATGGACGACTTTAAGTGTATTTCCAATGTTTCCCTGACCTTTATACAATAGAAAAATTGCATGTAAAAGCGTTTATGAGCAAGGAGGGCTATAAAACTGACTCAGTTGCACAAGTTCTGTCAGGAGGACTGAGCCAGAATTCCAGCAACTTATTGTGGGAACTTTGTGAAAGGCTTCCCAAGTTAAACAGTTTAAGGGCAATGCTCCTGAAAAATAACAAAGCGCATGTAAATTCTGGATCCATGGGAATGTAATGAGAGAAATACAAGCTGAAATAAAGAAATATTTATATTATTCAAAATATACAATCCTTAGAATAAAGTTGCGATGTTAACTGACATAACTGTGTATGTTTGTCCAATCATTTCCTTTTTCTCATTCTTTGATAAGTCAAGGCAGTTTTGCAGCTGTCCTAAATCCCAGGAGCAACTGTGCACAAGGTCACTTTCACTGGTTTAAAAAGCTTAACAAGTAATTTTGCTATTTGTTTACCATTTTAATAGTTATCACTCTCTAACTTCTGTTCCACTTAAAATTTACCACTGTCTTTCTACTTACAGACAGTTGATAGATATAGGCCATAAACTGTTATTCCTGCAAAAAATCAAAAACTGTAATTGCAAGACGTACACAGATAGGAGTTGTGGGGATTTGTTTTCAATTTCAGCATAACATCTCTTTAGACACAATAAGTTCACGTTCTGCTTCTGGGGGACACTCATGTCAGACTTCTATGAAATAATGTGGCGTGTGGAGGTGTCAGACTTTGTCTGCGTCTGAAAGAAACTCACAGTGAAACGTCTAAAAACCCATCACATCGCAGCATCCTTTGACCTGCACTGTATGTGTGTGATTCAGCTCAAAAGAAAATCAAACTCACCCCAGCTGCAAAGCCTAAGCTTCCGTCCAAGATGCGCTTCTGAAAAGGGCAGACAAGAAGAGAGGTTGTGAGCAAGTCAGTCTTATCAATATCCGGAAACCCTGACAGTCGAAGAGCGAACCCTTCAAAGAAAAAAAAAAAACCTCACTGTTGAATAAACTGACAAAGTTGCAACATGTCCCGAGAGTCAGAGGTTTAAAATAAAAATGCACAATTTAGTAGCAAAAGGTGTTTCCTGTGATGTGTTGGAACACAGTCTTGAGCAATCATACTGGTAGTACTCAGCTGTTGGTGACAGCAGCCTACTGACTGATTGTTGTGTTGTACCATAAAAACATTTGAAGGAATAGTTTGCAGGCTTAATGAGAGGATTGATATCATTGTTATGTTCGTCTGGTAAAGCTAGACTGCTGGACTTTTACATATAAATGAGCGCATCCGAGCAGAGTTTAAAATCTGCTATCTGTGGTGATATGTATTTTATTATAACCAGCAATGGTTGGTTTGCCAGAGCTGAAGAGGGATGCAATCGTAGCTACAGTATGCTATAGCAAATAAAAGTATGGCAGAGCTTATGGTTAAAAACCTACAAAACATCCACCAACTGTTTCTGATGCTCCAGATAAAAAAGAAACTCTGGGCTATAAAGAAGTATTACGATCAGTGGTGATGCGTATGTCATGATTACAACCATTCTTTATCAGTGTAAAGACTGGAAGCAGAGGGCTAACCTTGTGATGCTGTTGGTGCTGTTGATAGTATAATAAATTGACTGAAGATGCAATTTGCTAATGCAAAAAAGTGGATTTAGTGTTAACTTACTGTCTAATCCACCAAATAAACAATGTGGGAAAAAAATGTGTGGACCAGAATTACTGTGGCACATCTTCCTCAAAAAGCAGCTTGTTGTTTTTAGGCCTTGGTTTTTGTTAGGATTAAACAAACAAGAATACAAAATGCTAATTAGAAAGCTTTGGAGGTGCTGGCAGGAGGATTTTGTTACGTATGGGCCGAGCCAGATAAGCTGTTTCCTGCTGCTTCCAGTCTTTATGTTAAGCCAAGTTTAACTGCCTGACTATGGTTTTACAATACAGACGTAGAAGTGGTATTGAAGCTCTCGTCAAATATTTCCAAGCTTTAAAACGGTAGTGATTATTATTTGAGCTCAGAGTGAAAGTCGGTACCTGTCGGCTGGAGAAGACGAACACCAGGGCAGCTCCGGCAGCGGTCAGACCCCAGGTGAAGAGAGTCCCCAGCAGGGCTTGGGTCACAGGGCTGTAGCCTTCCAGCATGGTGCCACACCTGAACAAATAACACACATCCACTAGCAGTTATTTCACAGCACATCCACATTATATCAGAAGACAGAGAATAATGTCTTGTTCTTATCTTTCTAGACAGGCAAATGAAAAAAAAAAAAAAAAAAAAACATGGTTGAATTCAAATCCTCTCTGCTTTTAAGTATTCCTACAAGGCGAAAGCAAATATTGTCCCCATCTAGGAGCTGGTCTGTGCGATAAGTTTGACATGCAAAACCAACATTACTGCAACAGAAAGCGTGTGTCTCTGATGCCCAAGTGTCAACAAGAATGACAAGAGAACAAACAAGAAATCAGAAAACAGCGTACTTGGGCTGAGTCCTTGTAAATCAACATGTGTGCCTTTAAGCCCTCACATTACTACTGTGACACACACACACCCTGCTGTGTTTGTTTCAGCAAATGAGCGTCAAATCCTGTTTGCTCTGGATTCAAATATCCTGGACCTTTTCCTTTGGCATCTCTGTAATCAAACCTGTTGAGGTAGGTCTATCACTTATCAGTCGTCCTCAGATGTATTCATACCCTTCCATTAAAGAAAAGGCAAAATTCACAATAGTCACTCAAACAACTAGAAACTGAAAAAAGTAATAATCAATTTTTAAAAATTGCTAAATTGTTATTTAGTGAAATACGACGTTGCTTTTGAATTGAATTGTGGTTGAAAAGAATAATTTCAATTAAAAAAAAAAAAAAAACTGTCCCAGACAAATTAGAGCACTTTGCTGATGAGCAGTGGCCAAAATCAAAATACCTGTCAACAGGTGCAGAAAACACTTGATTGCAGTGATTGGCTCAAAGGGTTGTTCAACAAAATATTAGTTTACAGATCCCATCATGCTTTTTCGCTTATTTTTTGTTTAGTCTTTTAACATTTCTGTTGAACCACAATTCAAAAGCAATGTCATGATTTTCATTAAATTTTTATTTATTATTACTTTTGTCAATTTCTACTTATTCAGTGACAGCTGTTTTTTTCATTCTTTAATGGGAGGGTATGAATACATTTGAGGACGACTGTAGCAGTCATCCAATATCACATTCAAAAATAGGTTAATAATTCGTGTTCATCATATATTAATGGGTGAAATTTAGAGATGTAGGCTCGAGATGCGCCCTTAATACTACAAGAGACTTAAAATTCTTGGTATGTAAGTGTTATTTAATTGTCGTTTAATAATTCCTCCCTTAAAATTGTATGCACTCAGGGTTTATTGCAAGTTTTGCTTTAGATCTGCTTTGCTTAAAATTCACCACTGGTATGACAATTTACTTGGAAAATGATAAAACATAGTGTAACAGTCCCACAATATCTATTCAAGGTATGCTATCATTCGCCATTATGAGCTTGAGGTCAAAACAGGGTGAGGAGAGCTGCAGCAGCAAAATCCCTGAGAGAATGTTTTTTTTTAATTCAATTTATTTTTATTTATATTCAGCCAATGTACAACATAAATCATCTCAGGGCACTTTACGTAGTAATATACATAACATAACAATATATAAGACTTTACAATATTCTACTAAAGTGAAATATGGTGCAATAAATCTGAATGATTCCCTTTAAACAAACTCTTTGATACCACCACAAAAAAAAAAAGAAAAAAAAGGTCCAGTTTAACAGAAAAAAAAAACCCTCAAGCAGAACCAGGTTCAGGGAAGCCGATCATCTGCCTCAACCGGTTTGGAAGGGAAAGAAGAGACAAAAGGATAGCTAAGAGAAACTGACAAACAATGAATAAGAGAAGAATTGGGGAGATTGGACCTAAAGTTTCAATATGAGCCTTTAAATTGCTCAGAAATTCAACTGTCTGCATATAAGCAGAATGATTATTTTCCCTCTAAAACGTTACATGTTCTCCCTTTAAATTGGCTTTAATTAACACCCTGTTCACATGCAATAAATACTGTAAATATTTACCAATGTAAGCTGTAAGATCTGCTTTCATGTAACCATTCATTTACATTTTCATAAGCATGTGAATAAAAAAAACATGCAATGGGAATATTTACTAAGCAACAGTAGTAAAAGCTGCTTTCATAACTGCACTGTTGATTGACAACTACAAATATTAATACCCATCTGATGTGGCACCAGTTTGGGATGTTGTTGAATCTGTTTCTCCTTTGCAGCCACATCAGCTTTAAATGACTGACTGTGACATTAGCACTACTATAACACCATTAACCCTCACACGAAGATAGCTTTCATTCATTGCTGTCAAAGCTCTGCGACTAAACTGCTGCAGTGTGGCTTCAGTAATGTTCCACTGTGCAACTCGACTTTGAAATACACGCACACACATCCTGCACACAGTGTCCTGCACTGAGCACACATGCAGCCGAAGTCAATGAGAGCCAACCGGCTAAATTCTTGCTCGCCTCCTATTGCGAAATAACAACGTCATATTTCACTCTAATGCCATTTGTGATAATGTGAAACCACGCGAGTTAATTCGGCATAGTTACATTTTATCTTCAGTTAATGGTAGCGCTACTTTTTTGACATTACTTTGAGGTTCACTTACTTCTTTCCAGTGGCTCTTCAGTTCCTCTGTATTTACTTCCTACTTCCCGGTACACGTGTCTATGACGGAGGAAGCCCCGCCTCCGCTGGCAGCCTATTGGTCAGTCAAATGACAGCAGCAGCAGTGTTCATTCATTAAATCAATTTATTATCATTATTAGTA